CCATTTTAACAGCAAAGTGACCTTTGGAAAAACCAGAGCAGGAGGCCAGGCCCTGCTGCCCAGCCTGTGGGCACCTGGAAGGGCGTTCTGCCCGCAGGGCCCATCCTGCCACCCAGCAAAGCCCAGCCCCAGGCCCCGGCACAGGGCGGGCAGACACCCTCTCCCGGGCAGGAGGCGCCAGGCCACAGCCAGCCCTCCTTGTGGGGCAGTTTCATGGCTCCCAACGACCCCTCTCCAGGAGTCGACCCCGCCTCCATGTTCTCCCCACTCCCCAGGTGACCTGCCCGTCCATGGCCACGCTCCTCTGTCCCGAGGGCAAGCTCCGTGGCGCCAGCACTGGGATCAGAGGGCAGCACGCGGGGAGGGGCCCATGACCCCGCTGGCTCCAGCACTGGGCCCTGCAGTGCAGATTCCTGTGGCCCCGTCTGCACTGGGCCACCCCGTGGGCACCGTGTGCTGTCCCTCAGGGGCCCAGCACTGTGGGGTCTGGCTCACCAGCAGGGGGTTGTAGGCGCCACAAGCACCGAACACGTCCTCGTCTCGCAGGTACACGGGCCGGGACATGAGCCTCTCCAGCATGGACACGTTCAGCCCGTAGGCCATGGCCAGCCGGGACTTGATCACGGGCCCGAGCTGCATGGGGTCCCCGGCAAGGACGATCTGCCACACAGACGGGACCCGCTGCAGGGACAGCGGCGGCAGCCCACGCAGAGCGTCAGCCACAGCGTGCGTGGGGGCAGGGTGGCGGAGGCAGGAGTGCAGCCCCAGGCCTGGACACAGCCACTGGCGAGGCCCGCCCCTGCTGGACTCAGCCTGACCCCTGGGGACTGAGGGAGGAGGTGAGACTCGAACGTCCCGTCAGCCAGGGTGAGTGTGGGGGAGGGGTGACGGGGCTTGGCTGACCCAGTCACTACCAGAGGCCAGTGCTCAGCCCAGGACAGAGGGACAGGTCGGGGCAGAGAGGTGCTCCAGGGCCGCTAGTCTGCACCCAACACGGGTGCCAGTGACCACGCACACGCGTGTGCGTGTGTGTGTGTGTGTGTGTGTGTGTGTGAGTGCGCGTGAGCGTGTGAGAGAGGAGAGGGAGGGAGGCAGCCCTTCCCCCCGTGTGCCCGGGGACCAGGATGGTGCCGACAGGCGGATGGCACAGCAAGGCCTCACCTGGCCGCTGAGGTCGGAGACCAGCCCCAGAGGAATGAGGCACTCCGGCTCACTGGCCTGTCCGGCTTCATCCACAAACACATGCGTGAAGTGTCCGACTCTGGAGCCAAAGATGAAAGTGGTCGCCTCGGTCAGCGTCCCTGGGGCTCGGTGGCCAGCCCGGGAGGCACCCACAGCCCATCAGGAGACTGAGTTCCCTTCCCCACTGGACCCTACCCCCCACGCCTGTTTCGAAAGACTTAGAGGGGACAGGTGAGGGGCTGCACGGTGGGGAGCTGCTGGGCGGCCGTGGTCCAGGCTGGGGACTGCCGCCCACCGCAGGGGCCTGGGCTGGAGCCCCGCTCCCTCACGCAGAAGCTGGGTGACCTTGGGCAGGTCCTGCTCCTCTCTGTGCCTTGGTTTCCCCAAGGTTTCGGGCGGAGTGCGACAGGGTAAGCTGGTCAAGTGGGCACTGGGCAACATTCCCACGTGGGGAGATTGCCCGAGTCATGCTCTCAGCTGGAGCTGCTGCCGCCAGGACAGCCTTGAGCCCCCAACCATGGACGGAGACCCCAGCGCGGGGCCCCTGCTCACGGGGAGCTGTCAGCAGTGCTGGGCCCGTTGCCCTGACTGGCCGTCAGCTTGCTCAGTACAGGCCTGAGTCTGTGCATCTCAAATGAACGCCCCCCCGCCCGCCCCAGGAGGGGCAGCCCACTCATTTCTACCTCACGCCGTCTCTGCTGGAAAGCTCAGCAGGCTCCTTCCTCGGAACATCAGCCCTTAAACTCTGGATCCCAAACGGCCCACGGCTCCTTAGTTTCCTCCGTGAGGCCGGCCGCTTCTTGCTCACCCTCCTCCGCCTCCCGAGGCCCCGCCCGCCCACTGAGTGGTGGTCCTGCCACGGCCCCCTGGCTCCTCCTGTCTCTCCAGCGAAACAAGGTGCTTCCTGCCTCTGGTCTGGGTGCCACCCGCACGCTCGCTCCTCCCCCACCCTCTGGGACCGCCCTCCTGGCAACCTTGGGGCTCTGTTGCCCTAGGGTCTCAGCACAAACCCCCTTCCTTGGAGGAGCCCCCAGACCTGCTGTCAGGACAGAGGCCTCTCCCGCGGCCCCGCCCGCACGCTCACCGCACTCCGATCTGGTAGAAGAGGCCGGCGCTGCTGCAGGTGCTGATGATGATGCGGAAGCGCGAGGCCTTCCAGATGTCCTCCCCGTCTTTGCAGTACGCCTTGATGGCCTCGACGATCGTCTGGGGTGGGGGCAGTTTGTTTTCAAGTTACTAAGTGTCTTTAATTGGACATGATCACAAAGTCGGAAGGACTCCTACAAGCTAACTGTCCTGCTCCACCTCTCAGTTACGACTAAGTAACGACATAAGATTGTCTTCTTAAATAAAAATACTTGTATTTTCTTATCAATTTAGTCCCCATTTTATGGACTCTGGAGCCATGAATGTAACATATAACCCTGCAGATCCTTCCCCAAAACATTACTTCTAACGTCACCCATTTCCTAGCTTTGGTCTCTGGCTAATTAGCCCCTCACCTACAAGCAAACCAGCTGAGCTGCCCCCAGACCCAGGGGGGACTGCAGCTGGGAGGGAGGGGCGGCAGCAGGAGCAGGACAGAGGGAGGCTCACCTCCTCGAACCTGCAGGTGGCGTTCACGCGCACCATGCTGCCCGGTCGCAGCAGGCAGCTCTCGTGCAGCCGCAAGCACACGAGGTCGGCCGCGCTGTTGGAGGGCGCGCACACCAGAATCCGACTGTCGGGCAGGGCGTGGTACACCTTCACCAGGCACAGGAGGCGGCAGTCAGCGTGGGGCCAGTCCCAGCAGTGACGCCCTGGCCATGGGAGCAGGTGGTGGGTCCCGCCCGCCTGCAGGAGGGCAGCTGGGCACTCTGCATACGTATTAATCCGAAGCCCCAGGGGGGCAGCGCTACAGGCACACACGCCCACACTCGCTGCGACACAGACGGGCCTGCAGGCACCTGCAGACCATCCTGAGACGGGCAAGCAGCTTACTCTCCCGAGAACAGGAGGCTCCCTTCTGAACCCGTGAAATAAGCTTTCACACCCTGCACAGTCCGCAAACAACACAAGACAGACTTAGCTAAACAGAAGCAGCTGGACCTTGCAAACTCTGATTCACATGTAAACAGACACAAAATTCCGCCGCTCCCCCCGCCAAGCTCACGGGGACCGCGCGGCCTCCGTCACCTGTAACACAGCCTCGATGATGGTCACCGTCTTCCCAGTGCCAGGAGGCCCGAAGAGGACGTACGGGAGGGGGCGGCAGTCGCCACTCAGGATCCTACGCACGGCCAGCTGCTGGTTCTCGTTGAGCAGGGGGTTGAAGAACTCCTTCTCTCGGGCCCCGGGGGTCTGCAGCTCATCGCCTGGGTCCAAGGAAGGCACAGGGTCAGGCAGCACCCAACAACCCGGGCAGCTGGGCACAGAGACACAGCACCGGCCCCGGGCAACCAGTCAGCGGGACGCTCCCGCCGTGCCAGGGCCTGCGCAGCTCGGGAGTCAGCGTCTGAGAGCAAACGGGGCCTCCCGTCTCCCCCTTCACGGCAGCAGCGACAGGAAAGGCCACAGTCGGAAGTCTGTGTCGTGACCAGAGCGTTTGCTCATCCTCCCGTCATACAACTGTCTCGACCACCCCCGGCCCCTACAACGAGCCTCTCAGGGGCCTAGTCCCAGGTGTGGTCACTGCCCCACAATACGCACCCAGGAGACTCGTCTCTGTGGCCAACGCCTCCGGTCCCCGTGTGTCCTGGGCACCGGCCTGGCTCGTCTTGGTGGCAGGCTCAGGCTGGTCCTTCTCAGCTTCCCTGTTCTAGAAATAATCACGACCCCCCCCCAAAATGTGTGTTTGCAGGGTCTCAGTTTAAAGAGAAAACGTAGCCGTCTCCCCACACAACATTGGCGTGGTGTCCTGACCGGCGTGGCGTCCTGGCACGGACCACAGGTCACACCCCTTTGAAGCGTGACAAAAACACACAACAGCCGATAAAACGCTGCAACACCGTTTGTTTCTCTTCGGAATTACCTTTTACAAGAAACTAAGTTGCTGAGTTTGTGAAGACGGCTCCAAAACAACAGCCTTCCCTTCAGCTCAGCGAGTGCGCCTCCTGCCCAGCTCAGGGCGAGGAGGGCCGGAGCCCCAGCCTCCTCCGCAGGGGGCACCGAGAGCGCAGGGCAGGTGACGCCCGAGCCCCCTGCAGCTGTGGAGCGCAGGGTCCTGCCCCTCGGAAGCCTCTCTGCCCTGTGACCTCCCCTCCCAGGGCTGGGAGCTGCAGGCACAGGGCCTGCCTCGCTTGCTCCGTGCAGGACGCCTGCCCCGTGGTGCCGATGGCAGTGTCTGAAACTCTGGTTTCACGTGTTCTGTCAGGAAGGTCAATCCACCCCTGAGTCCACCTTGCTCAGGTGTGCAATGCCCTCCAGTTTACCTGCCACCAGCCAGTCCATGAAAGACACCGCTCTGCATTTAAAAGTATCAAGGCTTCGCCCATGCGGAAGGCGAGCCACCTAAACAGCGAAGCATCGCAGCCTCGAGACCAGCAGGGCGGGCGGGACAGGGTGACACCCCTGGTCTGTGCCCGAAGGACAACACGGATCCACACGACACCCGCAGGTGACCCGGTGGAACCTCTGCGTTCTCCTTCCGGGGCTCCTGTGGCCGCAAGGCACTAACACTGTAAGGACTGCCTTTGCGGAGGGGCTGAGCAGGGCGAAAGGATTTCTAGACATTGGGTACATTTAAAAGCCTGTACTTAGCATCAGCTTAAAACGTGCTCACACCGAAACCGGTTTGGCTCAGTGGATAGAGCGTCGGCCTGCGGACTGAAGGGTCCCAGGTTCGATTCTGGTCAAGGGCATGTACCTGGATTGCAGGCACATCCCCAGTAGGGAGTGTGCAGGAGGCAGCTGATCGATGTTTCTCTCTCATCGATGTTTCTGACTCTCTATCCCTCTCCCTTCCTCTCTGTAAAAAATCAATAAAATATATTTAAAAAACAAACAAACAAAAAAACGTGCTCACAAAACCATATCACCCAGTGCCGGGCCCTCGGAGACACGCCCACGACAGGAGGCTTTCTGTCAGCGGACACACGACCAAGAACCACCCCTTTGCGTTCACCCGGAGACACGTGCAGAGCTGCGGACAGCCTGGCTCCGACGGACACCACCTTACCGTTCAGAGACCGGGCTGTTGAAGCAAAGACCAAACTGCCTTCGTGACGTTCACAAAGACCACGAACGCCGGCCATCTGTGGGGCGACCCGTCAGACACTTCCAAGCAAGAGTCGCCACACGATGGCTGCCTGATGTACGCAGCCCCCACTGCTCACTAGAACCACGCTCGCACGGTCTCGGGTCCCCAGCGCTGTCCTGACCGTGCCTCGGGCCACCTGTGACCCACCCCCACGCCCGCCACACTGAGCGCTCCCGCAGGCTGAGACGTGCGGCAGGGTACCTCGGGGGCGGGCTGCCCGTCGCTCTTGCTGTCTCCTGCACAGTTCCAGCTGCCTGTCACCTGGGGAGACTGTAAGATGACTTCTTCTGGAAACAACACTTTTAAAACAAGAAAGGGCAACAAGGTAGGTATTACTGAGAAGCGTTAAAAAGATGCACAAAGAGGTTAAAGGCTGCAGCAGCCCCGAGTCCCTGTGTCGTGCACCCTCTACACTCGGCCCCGTGGATGCAGCCACAGCTACGCCAGCCCAGCACGTGCTTGGGAACAAAAGCCATGGTTTGTCTACTTGTCGGTACAAAAGGAATTCTATTAAGAGGGAAGAACAGAGTGCAGTGGCTTTGTTTTCAATAATCTAAGGGTTATTTTTACAGCTGAAATAAGACAACACAGAAGCTTCCCAAGAGGAAAAACAACACGAAATCAGTTTCACTTTTTTTTTGGTTACTCCTCACTTGAGGACATTTTCCCCATTGACTTTAGAGAGAGTGGACGGAAGAGGGAGGGGGAGAGAGAGAAATATTGATGTGAGAGACATCCATCGGTCGCCTCCCGCACACGCTCAGACTGGTGCAGGGAACCTGCCACCCAGGTACGTGCTCCTGACCGGAACAGAACCCGTGGCCCTGCAGTGCACAGGCCGGCGCTCTAACCACTGAGCCACCCGCCAGCCCAGCTTCACTTCTAACGTGAGGGAGGAGACTGTCCCTGCCACGTGCACTCGAGGCTGAGGGAACCCGGGGCGTCACGGGTCGCTCCACAGCAACAGTACCTTTCACTCCCAAGTGGCTGACGTGCTCAAGTGCAAAGTGACACCGTCTGCTCGTGGTCCTGCGGGGAGAAGACAGCACAAAGCCCGCTGTCGCGGCTGCACACGGGGCCAGCGCGGGGCTGGGCCTGACTGCGACCGAGTCGAACGCTATGCACTCTCTACAAAGCCTGTGGAGCGACTGCGGCTCCCAGGTTCTCACGGCACCGGAGGCCGCGGTCTGGAGGACCGAGGGTGGCGCCAGGGTCTGTGTCAGAGGAAAAGCCTAATATCGCACCAACAGGACAGCACAGACTCCTTTCTTTCCAGGAACGTTTAATGCATGAAGTGGACAAGTAGGAAAAAATAAAACACAGTGTGAAGTGTTAGGGAAATATTAATATTACTGTAACAATCAGAAAGCAATCCTACTAATAGAGAAACATGGTAATTAACCGTAACTTTGCTACCCTTCCCATTGGCTAATCAGCGAGATATGCAAATTAACTGCCAGCCAAGATGGCGGCCAGCAGCCATGCAGCTGAAGTGAACAGGAGGCTTGCTTGCTCCACTGATGGAGGAAACCAAGGTTCCCCGCCTGCCACAGGCCAGCTCC